CCCCCCCCCCCCCCTCAAATTTGGTACTCACAACGATAAATCATTGCTGCTACTACTACTTTAACAAAAATTATACATTTTTAAAAACTATGGTTGCTATGAGCTGCTTTTGAAAATATGACGCAATTCGCGCGACGAGCTTTAGAACCATCCGATCAAACTCAGAAGCTTCCGAAATATCACATTTCCCATGTTAAATGATCAAAGAACAAAACCGTGTTCGCGTTTTTTGACAGGTATTATATTTGCTGAGATATAAAGCAGATAAGTTGACTCATCAAAAATTTGCAATAACGATAGAACAGAAGCCTATAATTTGAAAACTAAAGCATTAAAAGAAAAACGCGAACACGGTTTCGCTCCTCTGATGTGGTTCTACATTGTGGTAAAGTTTGGTAGCAATTGAATAAAACGTGCCCGTTCCATAACTCGTTTTGTGAGGACAACCGGGCTGATAATTCCTTCTCTGTAAAACACAAAAAGTGATTTCGCGGAAACTTTCCGTTATCTGTTATGTTTCCCCGCCCCCTGTCATCACTTCAAACTGAAGCCAATCCGGTTCGACTTTTAAAGTGTGTTTTGGCTGGGTTTCATTTTGACTCAGCATCAATGACAAGGTGATAAGCAAGCGCACTTTATATAGTTATATATATGATTGATCACTTTTTAAACCAGCGTTTTACTTAGAAAGCAAATTTCACTGTGTTGTGTGCGTGTACCTACAATATTACAGTGATATAGTTATATCTAAAACAAACAAGCCGCCTAATGTTGAATACCGCCACAGATGCGTAACATGCACCCTGTGGTCAAACCATATGGTCAAACTTATCCACAAACTGTCAATCACAATTAAAACTTTCCCGGGGGGAAAAAATTAGACTATAACATTTTCGGTTATATCTCGGTTGCATTTTAATATTTTCAAAAAATTATTTGAGAAATGGAAAGATCTCTAGCCCCTCGATATAAATCGATAAAAATGTAAAAAAGGACAAAATCAATGTTTTCATCATGTGGAGTAACCTTAAACATCGATATCTCATATACACTAGATAGTGCTCTAATTATACTGCAATTCAAAAATTGAAGCCGTGATGACAGTCTCAGGTTGTTGACGTCGTTCTCATGAAATGAGAAGATTCGTATGTTTTCTATTTCTTAAACAGGGAACTTAAACATTAAGTTAACCCTATTCCAAATACGTTTTTAAACTATTCAAATGATAAAAGTTATTGCTGTTTTTAAGCGTTTATTAGCAAGTGGGAACGACCAACATGGCCGCCATCTATTCAAATGGGGGTAACCGCTGGAATATTCTTGGCTTCAATTTTACTAAAAGAGATGCGCTATCTAGTGTATTTAAGATATCTATGATCTTAAATCATCAAGTGGCGAGGGCTTTGAAGCGTAGGGAAAATGTGGGGTTAAGAAAACAAAAGGTTTAATGAAAAGCTAGATTGAATCGTTATCGCCACTTTATTGAATTCATTAACCACTGTACCGTACCGTATACTGAATTCATCAGTGACTCTACAGGGTGTATAAAAAAACGCAACCTCGGAATTTCCTAAGAAATCCACTTTGCAATTCTTAAGCATAAAAGATTTTAGGCCTCTGGGAATTTAAATCGAATTGCTAATAGATAATATAACTGTTGTTATGCGCGCTGTACTTGTAAAATAAAAACTCATTAAGTGTCATGAAATAAATGCATAAATTTTGCTTTACGCACTCGCGTGTACAGTAATTTTGACAGTTGTGCTATTTTGAATTCCCAGCCACCTAAAATCTTTTGTCCTTAAAACAATGTCGATTTTTTGGGAAATTCCGAGGTTGCGTCTTTTTTATACACCCTGTACAAGGTGTCCCAAAAAACCTGCAAACTATTCAAATAACATATTGTTCGAATTTGAATGCCTCAGCACTCTGCTGAACACACAAGTGATAAAAGATTAACATAAGTAAATTTTATGCATAAAGAAACTGTTTAAGAAGCTGCTTTAAATTCCCAAGAGCAGAAAATTGTGCGCCTTTACAAACCAGGTGATCTTGATACGCGGAAAAGTACTGGCACTAGTTGTCAAATAGAAATCCATTTTATGATTAAAACAACTGAATATCTCCTGTAATATACTTTATTTCCATTCCATATTTTTGTCAGAGCTATAGTTCTCATAACCAAACCTAATTACAAAATTTCAACTAGTTTCATAACGAATAATGAAAGATATAATTGACTGAATACATCAAAATGGATTTCTATTCGGACAACCCTTTCTGAGCGCTGATTGGCTAAAATACGAACACGAGATCACCTGGAAGGTATTTTAATTTGGTAATACAGGGTGAGTAAAAAAAAACTGACATCTTTGTTATTCAAATTAGCCGCGAAGGTATCAGTTTTTTTTACTCACCCTGTACAGTATGCCGGCACCCTGTCAATATTTTACCCATCTTTGCGTTCAGCTTAGTGCTGAGGCATTCAAATTCTAACAATACGTTTTTTCAACAGTTCAGTCGGCTTTTTGGGACACCCTGTATATACAGGGTGTATCAAAAAACCTACAAACCTTTGAAATACAATGTTTTTAGAATTTGAATGATTCAGAACTGATTCCAAGCGTGCGTAAGCACAATAGTTGACCCATTCGCATTCGAACTCATGGTTAGTTTTCTGCATTACAAATAACTTTGTGTTATTCTAATTTCTATCAACGCTTTCAGGAGCAAATCCAAAGGGCAAAGTCTTAGCGACTGTCGGCGTAAGGAGATAGCTCTCGTGTGCGGGCGATTTACGAACGACTTTTGTCATTCGTGCCACGTACGGAAAATATCTAACATGTTTGATAATTTCTGCCTCGCGTGCCAAAATCATTCCATGTGCGGCGAACGAAAGCTACCTGCTTGCGGATTGTCGTAACAGCACATGCGTAGTATACGAAAGTAAGAATCCAAGATAGCGGCGCAAAATGAATTGCTGGCTGAGGCAATTTTAGAAGACAAACTTGTCGTGATAATGCTGTTCCAACAACTTGTCTACAAGCTTGCTACAAGCCTGTTGAGAACATATCTTGTTGACAAGTTGTTGGAACAGTATTATCACGACAACTTTGTCTTCTAACTATATTTGCCGTAAGTGGCACGAATGACGAAAGTCGTTGGTAAATCGCCCACACACGCGAGCTCTCTCCTTACGCCAACAGTCACGAATGAGATTTTGCTAAGCACGTAGCTCCAGTATGCGCCAGCCTTTAAGCCCGGCGCACACTAGAGCCATGTGCTTAGCATAATGTCATTCGTGACTGTTGGCGAAGGAGAAAGCTCTCGTGTGCGGTGCACTTTTGTAAGTTTTTCGTCACTCGTGACGCAAATATCCAATGTGTTGAATATTATTGACACGAATGAACATTTCCTCCAAGTGTGAGCGCTCGAAAAGCTCGAAAAACTTTCATTGTAGATCGAATAGGCATGCGTAATAAAACATAAGAAAAAGGAAAATAATTAATCAGGAATGTGAAACTTGAGAAGCGACATATGGATATTCCCACTGAGCTATACTATATTACTGGAGGACCTGCTCGGCATCAACAAGTGAAGCCGAAAACATGGCGGATCTTACGCCATTGCCATGACAACACTTCCGAAATTTTCATGGTAACTGCCACTGACCAACCGCGATCCTAAGCTTCCGACGACGTCCTTAACCCCCCTGGTTTTTGCACGGAAATATTAAAGATATTTCAAGTTTTCTGTTGTTTTTGAGCTAAAAATCTTAATATTTCCATCGCACATTACTTGTTTTACAACGCGGAGGAAGGATTCGGTTTGGTTCGCTTGTGGATGCAGCACTTCACTGCAAAGAAAGACAAATTCTTTCAGGTAAGATTCACGAAACTTTTTTTAACTTTCTAGGGACTTGCATGGTCATATATCACTCGAGATATCACTCGTATGTCAAAAACTCATCATCCTAATATATACAGCAAATATTTCAACAGCAGACATAAAAATATTGTTAATGATTGGATACCGTGTGCATGAAATTATGTTGTTGTGTGTCAGCACTGGCCTTTGCTTTGTGGTTTTATTGCCAGGCTGCCAGTTTTTAATACTTGTAATTTTATATATTATGGTTGTTTTTACATGTTTATATGGTGTGAAATGTTTATACTTGCCCATCATATAGTGCAGGATTAATATATATAGATAAGCACAAAACCACAAGACCAGAGAGATTTGAGTAGAGGAGGCCCACCTACGTGTGGCAATATATATGCCTGTCCTGATGAGCCCTAGCTATGACTGTCTTTTTTGTTTTACCCTGTCTGTGTAATGCCAGATGATTTTAAGGGGAGACTGCTCACTACTGCCACTCAGTGGGTTAAATATACTATCTGCCAATGAGCAGCCCCTGAGATCATTAAGCAGCAATGTGCCGAAATGAACCCTACATTCTTATTTTACTCAAAGGGAAGAGTCTTGGGGTAGAAAATAGATACTCACTTTGCCATTATCTGTTCAGAACTACATACACAGTATGATGTGATAGTTACATGGCAAGAAAAAAATGTTGCCCACAAGCTGTTAGGATAAGTGAGTCATGCATGCACTATCGATGCACTATAACCAGGTAAATTCAGAATATATGCTACGTACACCATTTCTATAAGATTGGAAGAGGTGATATCTGATTGGTTTGTGAGATACTATGATGAAATTTGCTAATAATAGAATTGCATTCCTGAATATGGAAACATGACACTTAATTTTGAAGCTAGGCATCATTATAGTTTTGGTAAAAACAGATCATATATTGCACCATAAGCCAGCAGCACTCTCCCCTTGACTAGTAAAATTGTCTGACATTAGATAAAAATAATACAGTAAGGCATATCAAGACTGCACATTGCCACTTGAAGGGTTAATAATTAATATATGTCTATTTATTATATAGTAGAGAGTGAGATACTGAAAAATACACATTGAGATATTTTCCATATCTTCACTAGTGCATGAAGATATCGATCACTGACTTTTTCGTGGGACTATATAATAAACAAAACAGAACACTACACGGTGGCTTGAAGATATGACTTTTATTTTCTCGTGTTAAAATCAATATTTTACTCACTAGCTGTTCTCGTTCGTAAAATATTGTTTTCACCACTCGAAGATAAAAATCATATCTTCGCACTGCTGTGTAATATCCTCTCTATATATACATGCATATGATATTTTTCATTTTCATGGTGTATAAAGATGTATATAAATGTATCATAATAATAATGCCATCTTTTATTTTGCAGAAATTATCTGTTTAATGCAACACAAGAGATGGCACAAGCATCAACATGGAAGACAACATGCAGAACATCAAAATGAAGTTATAATTATAATACCATAACAACATAATAAATAATTATATGATTATAATAACTTTATTGAAGTGTAAATTTTATAACAGAGCACAATTGTGCTCCACTAAATTAGGAAGAATTAAAATAAATTATACATTTTTTAATTGTTTACTGCTAGTTAATAGAGGCTACAAAAAAGTCAAATACTGTACATCCTTCCAGAAAGTATGCCACTTTGACTATGGAGCCTTGTTTTTGTGTATTTGACATGTCTCAATCATGAAAATGAGACTCTACAGCCTATAACCAAGATGATATACTTTCTGGAAGCATGTATTAATTAAAATACAGTTGTTCAAAATTAATCAAGCTTTAATTGTATGTTCAGTTCAGGCACAGATTTTCTGGGGGGGGGTGCCCCCCAGAGGCATTTGGCAACGCCCCTAAAAATTTTTGCACCCCGCAAATTATATATATTTTGATTTGATAGTTTCATATTTGATTATTCTTACTACTAAATTTGTAAAATTACCAATATTATGGTCTCAGATCTTGCCATGCAGGCCTAGAAAACAAATTTTGTTAAACTTTTTCCTTGGCCTTTCTGGGCGTTGCCACCAGGCCCCAGCCAAAGCAAGCAGCAGCACCCCCCAGATATCTATCCACCCCCCGAACGAAAATATGAAAATCCGTCTCTGGTTCAGTTTCCAAAGATGTAGCTTGGTACTGTGTTTTGCCACCCAGAAAGGAGAGTGTGTCATTATGGAATAAATCTGCAATAAACAAGAATGGATTAATTATACAGATTGTGCAATTGAGAGTAAGATTGTAAATAATTAAGATTGTACTCAGCTTAAATCAGAACTATGAGCGCACTTATAGACTCAAGGTACATTGTTTATTCAGAGTGATATTTACTGAGAAAACCTGTAAGAAAACAGTGCATCCTGGAAATGAGGTGTGATCACACATGCATGCCTTGGCACACACCTCGGCTAAACCTCGGCATAGGGTGATTTATCTCAAGCCTCGATAATGACACAAAAGTCAAGAGGTATCCCCAACCAGAAAGCTAGCACCTCCAGCTTATACTGTACATATTAAGTTGGTACATAAAACAAAACCTAAATCCCTCTTTCAAAAAGATAGTCTGTGGTACATGATCATAGTTTATGTACTATTAACATTATTACAGTTCGCACTTTAGAGACCGTCGTATTACTCGTATATGTGACTGAATATCATTTTAATAAGCTTCGTAGGTTGTAACCAAATATTTGCGATTGTGAATCACACCTTTCTAAAGTAGTGGGAAATTTTACACTTTCCCATGTGTATTGCACTGTAGAAAGCTGTTTCCTTAACAAATATATAGAATGTCATTTTCATCGTTATACTTATTAATTTCATGTCAAATAAGATAAAGTGTAAATAAAATTGAATATGAAAATACGTCTCTTACCTTTGTAAATCCATATTCAAGTATCGTCTTTTTCCCACATTTCTTGAGGTTTTAAAATTTGTTTGTCGTCTTTGATGGGCGAGAATAACACGTACAACTTGCATATCTTTGTCCAAATGGTCAAAAGTAGAAAATTTATATCGAAAAAAATTAAAAAACCGATTTAAAACAACAAGAACTATATTGCCTATATTATCTGCAAAACTTTTTTGCAAAAACCAGGGGGGGGGGTGTGAAAACGGCCGTGGGCTCAGAATTGAGCCTGGTCAGTGGTACCTACCATGAGAATTTCGGAAGTGTTGTCATGGAAATGGCGTCATTTTCACTCAAAATCCGCCATGTTTTTGGCGACACTTCGTTGACTGAACGAAGTATAGGAGCAGGTCCTCCAGTTATTATACAGCTCAGTG